TTATTCCTGTAATGCCCCAAGACAGCTGTGTCACCACACGTAAAAGATTTCCTATCTGTTTTTGTTACTAGTCTGAGTTTTTTCAGAGCAAAGCTGTGGATTGTTTATCTTTGTAACCAACATACATAGCGTAGTGACTGAACTTTATAATAGACTTTTATCAGTTGAAGTATTTGTTTTGATATGGGAGGTAAAGTTGAATACATCAGAAGATTAAAGTTGAGTTCTAGTAAGGCTGGCCTTTAATTGCAGCACTCTGGGTGACTGAGGCGGGAGGATTGCCAGTGGGAGTCTAGCTTGTACTATGTTGTACTGGCTAGTGTGGATCCTTGCTTTATTAGAAATGGAAATTTAAAGTGAAAGTACAAATATATAGGAAAAAAGTTTTAATTGGAAAGTTAATGGGAAGATAAGGAAGGACTGCAGCTAGATAGCTAGAGGAGGAATACTCTGATATAAGGGTTCAGACTGGCCCACCTGCCAAGGCAAGACCAACTTTTAAGGATTAACTGGGGCCTGGGGTCTTGGTGATTGTTATTTCAGTCCTGGTGGCATAGTACTGGAGTGAATCTTTTTGCTCAGGGATGGCTTCCTTCCCAAGAAAGGATTATTTGCTTTGGTGGTCTTGGAATCCAGGAGATTATAGGTTCAGGACCAAGGCAGGAGACTTCCAGCAAATTGAATGTCCCTGGAAGTTGCACATCCTGGTGTCTTCAGTCTTGAAAAGGGGGAGGTTGCATATGGCAGATAAGGTTGTTGGGAAACGGTGGATATAAAATGGTCAAGCTTTGTTTTTAGGTAACTAAAGGGAATCTGTAGGTTCAAGTGAAGACTCATGATTCATAGCAAAAATGGTCCATTACTGTCCCAGAAGAAAACACATATCATGTGTTACCGAGTAGAAGTTAAGGGCCCAGGATTTTGCCTGTTTCCCATTGCTGTGGTGGTCCCATACGATGGTCATAACTGCATCAGTCAGAGTGGGTGTTGGTAGAAAAGTAGTTCATTGCAGAGTCACTGGATTTATCCAAACTGGGGGAAAAAATCTAATTGTAACTTTTTGTGAAATGATGTTGGGCAAGTGGCTCAAAGCTTCTTTCCTTATGGATAAAATAAGAGTAGCCCACCTGGAGACCTTACTAAAATGCACTGTTATTCTGTGGTAGGTTCTGATATTTTGCATTTTTAACAAACTGTATGAACTACAGAGGACTAGTTAACAAGTAGTGGCTCTTCTAGCTTTTACCTTCTGTGATTATAATCATTGTTTTAAATTCTGAACAAAATATGTCATAACTATGAAACATCTCTTCAGTGTATCCAAATGCTAAAAACTGACAATTCTGTACCTTATAAGTTTCCCTAACTTTGTGTATTATTAGTGTGTAATAATATCCCTAAAATTGAAAATAATCTTACTACTCCTAAAATTTTGACTTTGACAAGTTAAAAATATCAAATAAATGTCTGGGAAGCATTTGAGTTAGCACTTGGTTGTCATCTAAAATGTCAGAATGCTTGCTTATTGGAGAACATTTGCAATAAGTAATCTACTCTTGAAGGCTTTATGCTAATGATAGAGCTGAGATAGACATGTGATCTCATGAGTATAAATATAAATACAGAGACAGGCAAGCTGTTGAGTTAATCATCAGAGGAGTTTCCAGTCATTTCCTTCAGTTCTCCAGAAGGTAAGAATCAAAAAGCATTGGTGATGTGTCATTGACTATGGAGTGCTAGGAATGAGTATTGTTTGAAAATGTTGCTACCATTTTCTTTTGACTTTAATTTCTCAAGAAATTATGATATTTGATTAGAGAGCACTATAAGCTTAGAAACTTATTACTGGTCTTGATCCTGTGTGCAAATATCTAAAACTAGTTGTACTAATTTTTATGTGTTAATTACAGAACAAATTTTGTTTCTTTATTCTCAGCCACACCAAGAATATTAATCAGGCTCAGCTTCAATATCCAAATAAGCTATGTCTGTGCCTGTCATTTATAAAGGTTTCTTATTGGCCAGGAGCTCTCAATCTCTGCTCTTCTGTCTGCACTACCTGCATCCTATTCTATTTTAACTTTAGCTTTTGTTTTCTTGGTTTTTGTTTTTGTTGTTGTTGTTCTAAGAAAACAAGTCTGTACAAAGGAAACTGAGACCCTGGAAAAAGTATAGCATATAGCCTATAGTTGAGGTGGTTATCTTTATGTGCTGCAGTGGGTTTTTAACCTCCCACAGGATAAGGTAGTTTATACTACCAAAGTGACTGTTGTTTCATCTTCCCATGACAGGTGTGGGTTACACAGTTTTAGTTTAGTCATGTATAGCCCTTTGTTCCCCTCAACAGTGATCATGAACCTATGGTACGGAATTGGGTATAAACGATGGCGATGAAATCTTTAGAATCCTTTGCAAGAGACCTGGCCCCTTTTCTCCCTTTAGGAGAGCCTTGCAGAGGGGTGGAAGATGTTAGGAATTTTCTGTGGTGCACACTGAGTGTCTTATTGCCCCCTTTTCATGCTGTTCTTACTGGAGGCTTATTTAATATTACATTGCTGCTAGTTTAGAACTCACTTTTAAAGTAGTTATCTGTGTTGAACTCAAATGAAGGTTTTTGAAACTATTTACAGAAGGCATTTGCTGTATTCTGCATAGATTGTCCTTTGGGAAATGTTTACCAGCACTGTTATCTGAAGTTCTTTGTGCCCCTCTTTGGAGTGTTAAAGAGACTTGTTACTGTTATCCTGAGGAATTTTTTTTTTTTAAATCGGTACTAGGGATCAAACTCACGACTGCGCGCTTACAAGGCTGGCGCTTATGCCACTGAGCTAAATCCCCAGCCCCTGGAATTTTTTTTTTTAAACATGAAATACTGTAATGTTTTAGACTTTGCACCCACATGTTTTCGTCTCTTTCTAACTTTTTTGCTGGGGACTGAACATAGGGGTTCACGCATGCTAGGCAAATGCTGTCTACTATTGAGCTGTACCCTTAGCCTGCTCTTTAACATTGATCTTGTGTTTTATGGCTAATGAAGTAAACAGTGATTGTTACTAATGGCTTTTCACTTTTAAATTGGTGTTAAATTTTGAATAGTATCATTACAGTCTCAGAATGTTAGCATTGTACTTTATCCTTTGCTTTTTTAAAACATATTTTACTGTAGAGCAACTTAAGTGATTTTTAAAAACCATTGTTACAACTTAGTATAACTTACAATATTGATCATTAAAACTACAAAACATCTCTTAAAATAAGCTCTAAGGTACAGTCTATGGTAACAAACTTCTTTGGTTTAATCAATTATTATTCAGATTAGCTAAATAATTACGAATAATTTCAATATATTCTCCTAAAATCAATCTAGACTTTGTTTTTTTGAGATTAGGTCTTGCTATGTAATCCATGCTGGCCTTGAATTTGCAATGATCCTCTGGCCTCAGCCTCCTGAATGCTGGGATTACAAGCATGTACCACCATGTGCAGTTTAAAATCAGTCTAGATTTTTTTCTTTTAATCTTTTAAGATTTTAACACAATATTTTATGAAAAACAATTGTGTGCCTACCTCTAACCCCCTCTGCCCCATTTACCTTTGAATGTAGCTATCAGTCTTTTAGGACAATTCGTTTTACTTGGGTTGGGGGTGGTAGTGGAGGTTGAGGCAAGGGCCGTCTCACTGAGCCACATTCCCAGCCCTTTCATAAATTCTGAGACAGAGTCTCTAAATTGCCCAGGGTAGGCTCATACTTGTAATCCTCCTGCTTCAGTCTCCCAGAGTGCACCACAACTGGCAAATCCACTTCTTTATTTTCTAGGTAAGAAGCCAGTATGCTAGGATGGGTTCATGTATCCTGTAACATGTAGTTTCAGACATGCTTTTGGCTTTACTGGATTGGTACATGAACCTGCCAACAATAATGTGTTCAGGTTTTTGTTTCATAAGCGAAAATAATATCTAAGCTGGGCATGGCAGCGTATACCTACAATCCTAGCAATTTGGGAGGTTGAGGTGGGAGGATTGTGGATTTCAAACTAGCCTGGGCAACATATTGAGACTTCATCCTGAGTACATAAATAAATAACCTACTCTCAAAAAACTTAACCGTGGAAAAAATCTCTTCACTGCAATAATGCAGTACCAGCTAATACCATTTTAGGATTCTCTGTGTTGTTAGTCCTTCCCTATCGTGTCTCTAGCTTTTCTAGAGAAAAAAAGAGGAAGCACCTTTAAGAGAATTTATATAACATCTTTGTTATGATTGTCACACTGTTTGTGCCCTGACATTCTACTGTGCAGTGAATTACAAAAATTATTGGAGTCTTTCCAATTTTTTCTTTGTTTTATGTGCTTGCCTTTGTTGCTTTCCTAGGACAGCCTATGCTTCCTGCTTTGTGTTAAGGATTCATAGGGTTTTTCTTTATTGAGGATTATTCCTGTGTTGTCTTGAATGCATATCAAACTCATGAGTCCCAGATCTGCCATATCCTTGAATATCATCAGGTTGAGCAATGCTTTGGTTGACCCAGTATTAATTCTTTTTTTTTTTCCCCAGTATTAATTCTTACACAACTTCTCACCTTACTGTAGCAGATACTTTTGAAATATGTATGAAAGTAGTTATTGGTAATTGAAAACTAGTCACTCATCAATTCATAGCCCAGCCTACCCTGTGTCAAATCCCAATCCATGAGCTCTTCTAGATATAAATATGGCTCTATGAAAGCGCTATAATCAGCCTTTCTCCAGAAGAGTGAGGGGCAAGATGGGAGAGAAGAATGACTACTCAGAGGTTATAAGGTTTCCTCTGGGATAAAGGACCTAGTTCAGTGTTAAAGGGCATGCTTAAATGTACAAGGTCTGGGTTCAACCTCCAGCAGCAGCAGTGTCCTCCAAGGATTTCTTAAGTGTGATTATGGATTATGTGCATTTGTTTAATGTTTTTTTTTGTCCTTTAAAAATAGCCAAATTTCAACAATAAATAATCTTTTCTTCCCCAGTTTTCAAGAAAAGACGTATAGCAAAATGAATAATCCAGCTGTCAAGAGAATAGGAAATCACATTATCAAATCTCCTGAAGACAAGCGAGAGTACCGGGGACTGGAGCTGGCAAATGGGATCAAAGTGCTTCTCGTCAGTGATCCCACCACTGACAAGTCTTCAGCAGCCCTCGATGTGCACATAGGTACAGTTTAAATTGCAAATCAACTTGGTTCAGTCTTATTGAGCTAATGGTTGTATTTAGTAGAACTTTTTGTTTGTGAATAGAAACCTAGTAGCTATCAGTTTAATGTACCTTAATTTATTGATTTTTAATACTTTATTTTGTAATGGAACCCTTATTCATTTATTGGTAAAGTACAGTCATTAAGTCACAATAATCTTAATTTACTAAAAGCATCTGGTTAGCTTAATTACTGAGTTAATAATTGTTGCCAACATAATGTAAAGTGTTTTGTAAGTATCTACTTTGCACTGGTTCCTCAAAGATAAGGGTATATTGAAGTGACTCAGGGAAGATAGGTAAATATGTTGAAAATTTCACAGTTACATAGCTGCTGATCTCCAAGTCCATTCTTTTAGCACTATGCTGTCTGGTATCTTACAGTAAAATAAAACAAAACCATAATAAGGAAGTTCTAGATGTTACCAAGCAGTGAACTCAGCTCTCTTTCTCTCCTGTGTAAGGAAACTATTGTCCAGGAAGGTTAAATAATCTGTGTATGTACCAACTCAGTAATGTCAAGAATAGGGATTAGAATCCAGGTCTTCCAATCATTTGTATACCTTCTAAATAATATAATCTTAGAGCAGTGTACTCTTAACTTTCTCTGATTATGTGATTGTAGTTCTTATAGTAACAAGAATTCCAAATTGTCTGTAATTACTAGCTTTTGATATAAAAATAATTTATTATATATGTGTTTTCTCTTTCAGGTTCATTATCAGATCCTCCAAATATTTCTGGCTTAAGTCATTTTTGTGAACATATGCTTTTTTTGGGAACAAAGAAGTATCCAAAAGAAAATGAATACAGCCAGTTTCTCAGTGAGCACGCAGGAAGTTCAAATGCTTTCACTAGTGGAGAGCACACCAACTACTATTTTGATGTTTCTCATGAACATCTGGAAGGTGCCCTAGACAGGTGATGCTGAGTATACTATAAATTATCCAGCTTTATGCACTTAATCACATTAATAAAAGTAATAATAGTTTTTTTTTTTTTACAAAGATGGCTTCATTGCTTTATAGCCTAACAAAATACATTTTAACCAGCCTTTTCCCTTTTATTTTATAAAAAAGAAAGAATAATGAGAAATGTCATAGTTTTATTTCTGGTAAAGAAAGAATAATGGCAAGACTTCCACCAGCCCTCAGGTCCACAGAATATATTGATTTATAAAATTCTCACTGGCCCTTTCCACTCTACCTGATACTGTAGCTAACGTCGGGTTAGTGTTGCAGACCACTTTTCAAACATAATTTCTCTTCCAGAAGGCTAGACCTTAAGCATCTTATTCTTCAGATCCTCACTTAAGGAATGTTTTGATCCGTTTGAAAACTGAGGATATTTTAAAAGCATTTTTTGAAGAAAGCTCCATTAGGCCACTTTAACTTCTTGGTCAATTTTCTGTATAGCCAACAATTCCTTTTATGTTTCTTTTTGTATTACTGAGGATTAAACCCAAGAATTCTAGGCAAGTGCTGAATTACTGAGCTCCACCCAGCCCTTTCATTTTTTATTTTGAGACAGCCTGTTGCTAATTGGCCAGCCTGGCCTTGAATTTGTGATCTTTCTACTTCAACGCCTTAAGTAGCCAGGATTATAGGCATGTGCAACCATGCCTGGCTATAGCCAGCAATGTTTTATTTTTTGTTGCATTAATGACTTGATTTATTATTAGAAGTATCAATATCATTTCTTTGCAGTGAACTTGTATAGTTTTATAGATTTCTGTATTACTAAAGTATAGTTTAGCATTTTGAAATTTGACTTTTTTTTTTTGTCTTTTTTGAGACAGTTTCACTCTGCAGTTCAGGCTGGCCTTGAACTCAGCTTCCTGAGTACTGAGATTACAGGCATGTGCTGCCATGCCCTACTATTGTTTTGGGGGTTTTTTCTTTTGTTTTGTTTTTGTGGAGATGTTTTTGGTTTTTGTTTTGGTCACAACCTGTTGATGGTAACAAGATTAAAAGTAGGAAAATAAATTATTAAATTATTAAAAGTAGGAAAAAAAAACTACAAAATGAGTTTGGGCCAAGTAAAAATAGGAAACCAAGTGTATACTTCAGAATGACAATAGGTTATTATAGAGAACACAGTAGTCTAAAGTTTGGCACTGTAATTTTAGTCAGTGTCAGCTTTGTTCATATTAATAGTCAAAAAAATAAACAATTTTTATTTAATCTTTTTGCTTTTTCAGTACTGGGGATTGTATCCAGGGCCTCATGCATATGAAACAAACATGCTGTCACTGAGCCATGCCCCAGTCCTTGTATTTATTCATTAGCATAAAGATTATTAACAAGACAAAGACTGTGGGTTTGTCATATGTGACTGGATCACAGTAGTCTGTTTCCTACTTATTCTGGGTTGTGTCTCAGTCTTTTATGCTTGAGGTGTAGTCATCTTTTGTAAGTTTTCTCTAAGATTTCCATTCAGGAGTTCCATGGGATTATACACTGCATTTTATTTTCTGCTTTGCAAATGCCAGAGCAAATTTTATATATGTATTTAACAAATCTCTGTATGATGGAGCATGTCCGCTGTATAGCTTAGAGTAAAAATTCACTTGTGAAAGTGCATCTTTTTAAACTGAATTAAACGTGATGGTTTGCACCTACGCAGCTGGTCTGTAGTTGTTAGGTATTTTTCCTATCCTTGATGTATTGAAGTAGGTAAAAGAGGTTACATGTCTATAGCAATCTCCTTTCTTAGATCTTTGATTATAAACCCCAGGTAGATGAATTTTCTCTTTGGCTTGGCATGTGTAAAGTATTTAGCATAGTATCATATTCATTATACACTTAATAAAAATATTAACTAATGACAGTTTTCTTTTTGACAGCTGGACTTGTGGTAACTGAGATGTTTATAGACCAAACATTCTTTTAGGTCCCTCAGAACAAAACTCCTGTTCAGAACACCTGCTCTTGGCTTCATCTGAATTCTGGATCTTGTTCCTATATGATAGGATCTAACATTTATTTTTTTTGGCAGGAGGCAGCGGGGGAGGGGAGTCGCTTTTCTGAGATAGGATCTTGCTATGCAATTCAGGCAGGCCTTGAGTTTACTTTGTAACCCAGACTGGTCTTGAACTTGCAGTGATCCTCCTGCTTCCGCCTCCTGAGTGCTGGGATTACAGGCATGCATCAAAATCTAAGATTTCTTGAGAATTGCTTCATAAAATCATGACTCAAATTGTTACCTAATATAGAAGAATTTAATTTGTACACTAATTTGTAAATTTTATTATTGTTAAAGAATAGCCTTAAAAACGTAGTGGTTACTTTTGTTAGAATTGCCTATTATGCTGTTTACTAAATCACTGCTTGTAAAAATTCATAGACTGTATCTTAATGTTTCATAATAATAGCTGAGTCATAGTACTACGTTATAGTTCAGGTGTTTCAGTGTAGTTTGAATTTCTCCAAGGAGAAGAAAAAGAAAGAAAGAAAGAAAGAAAGAAAGAAAGAAAAAATAGAAAAATGCCCAGTATGGTAGTGCATGCCAATAATCCCAATCCCAAGCTGAAATTGGAGGATCACAAATTCAAGCTTAGCCTGGGTAACTTAGTGAAACTTGTCTCAATGATTAAAAATTAATGGCAAAAAAATGAGGAGGGGAATGTGACTCAGTACAAAAGGTCCTGTGTTCAGTCTCTAGCACTGCATTTAAAAAAAAAGACAAAAAAAAATTAAGTCATGTCTTTTTAGAAGTAGGTTACTTGGAGCCAGGGATAGAGCTCTGAGGCACAAGTGCCTGCCTGGCAAGCTCAAGGTCCTGAGTTCAATTCCTGGTCCCAGTGCTGGAGGGAGGAGAAGGAGGTCACTTAACCAGCCACGATGGCACACACCTGTAATACTAACACTTGGGAGCTGATGCAGGAGGATTGCGGCCAGTTTGAGGCCAGCCTGAGCTGCATAGTGAAACCCTCTCTCAAAACCACCCAAATAAATAAATAAATAAAATAAAAATCACTTGTTTTTTGCCTCCTTAGGTGCCTGAGTCTTACTCAAATTGCACCTAAAACTGTAAAGTGAAGATGATGGGACTGAGAACTGTTTTCTGCTTTCCTTTTTTTCTTCAGAGAATTAACTACATAAAAAAAAAGTTTTTCATAGACATTGCAAATTTTTTTGGTGGTGGGAGGTTTCCTGAGAATTAAACTCAGGGCTTCCACATGGAGCTATATCTTCATCCTTTTTTTAATTTTCCAGTTTTGAGACAGGTCTCAAAGTTTCCCAGGCTGGGATTGAACTTGCAGTCTTCCTTTGTCAGCCTCTCAGAGTGCTGGAACTACAGGCAGGTATCATGGATAATCTTGAATAGACTACTACTAATCTCTACATGTTTTCTTTGAAATTTTAGGGTTATTTAAATGTTTTCCACTAATCATGTAGCATCTCTCAAACAAATCAGCCCCTCTGACTTCACTCTCAGTTTGTTTTTGTGTTTTTTTTTCCTTTTTTTTTTTGGTACCGGGATTGAACTCATGACCTCATGTTTGCCAAGCAGGCACTTACGCCATTGAGCTAAATCCCTAACTCAGCCCCTCTAACTTTATGGATATCCAGTGTTACGTTTTCTTATGTTATTTAGAACTTAGTTTATATTTTTAAAAGACTAATCTTTTCAAATAATAGTTTTCAAGCTGTTAATTGTGTTTCACACCCTTAGGTTTGCACAGTTTTTCCTGTGCCCCTTGTTTGATGAGAGTTGCAAAGACAGAGAAGTGAATGCAGTGGATTCAGAACATGAAAAGAACGTGATGAATGATGCCTGGAGGCTCTTTCAGTTGGAAAAAGCTACAGGGAATCCCAAACACCCCTTCAGCAAATTTGGGACAGGTTTGTCACCAGTGGCTTTCATACAGGAGGCCTTCTTGACCTCGTTTAAACTCTTAGACTCTTTGCACACTGTTGTATTTTACAGTTACGGGTAGAAAATTTCAGATTTTCTCATTCAAATAGGGGTCCAAACGTTTAATGAGAAGAGCATTTAGAGTTGTGAACCATTTTAACCAACAGTTTAAAGGGAGAAGATAATAGATTCTTTTATTGTGGAGTCTACCTTCCAAATCCAAGTGCTTTTTAAAGGTTCATTTCAAGGCTTTTCTACCCTTCCTACCCAAGTTGCATTTACCTCTATTCATCCACAAGTGTATCATCTGCTGTGGGGGCAGAAGCATGGGAGATAGAACACTAGTAGATACACAAGACCTCTGCTCTTAGCAGGAAATATGAGGTAGGGATGACAGTAGAATAAAATAAATATAGAGGCTCTTGATTTTATAATTGTATGATTTCTTTATTCAAATTTTAATTAGAAAGTACATATTTAATTTAAATATTTCACCGGTACAAAAAACAATACAGAACAAAAAGTATTAAGATGTATTATATACATGTACCAACTCCCTACAAGGAAAGTGATCATTATGTTTTACAAACATGTAGCAATAAAAAAATTAATCTTCAGAAATAAAGTAAAAGAGAAAAGCACAAACCCATTTTTCCTTTATCTCATTTACTCTTTTCAGTTCCACGCACCACTGGCAGTCATTTTTTTCTAGATTGCTATGCTTTTAAAATATCTCATGGGCTATAAAAATATATAAAAATAATGATAATAAATCACTTAATGCATTTATAAATATGCTTATTTTTAAAGTTAATTTTGGGAGAAATTTAAAACTATAAAGTCATTTTTTTAAAGTTGGATACCATTCTAATTCATCCAACAGCAACCAGGAAAGTCATTGTAGCTTTATTAAGAAGGAAAAGGGAAAAATAAAACTAGGAGTTTTTAAAAATTGCAACCAGAAGTAGTGACATTATGTTGTTATACTACATGCCACTGAATAACAATATCATTGCTGAAATAAATAATGTGGTTCTTATAGTATAACTGACTTTTAAGAAAAATTATTTTCAGCTGGGTGTGGAGGCACATTTTTGTAATCTCATCACTCTGAGAGGCTGAGGCAGGAGGATCTGAATTTTGAATCCAGCCTGGAAAACTGAGCATATTAGCATGGCACTGTCTCAAAATAACAGATTTAAAAAGTTAGAGATATAGCTCAGTATGAAGGTTGAATTCCCAGCACCACAAAACAAAGAAATAAGCAGAATATAGAAATATGCAGCATTAATAATAAATAAATATGAAGCATGAAAACATTTGAATGCCCAGTGAACATGACAAAGATGCTGATATCATTAGTAATAGAAGAAATACAAAGAAACATGGCTTTTTTTTTTTTTTTTTGGTACTGAGACTCAAATTCACAACTTCACACTTGCTAGGTGCTGTGCCACTGAACTAAATCCCCAGTCGTGAAAAGTAGCACTTTAAGCTAAACATAGTGGCATACCACCTATAATCCTAGCACTCTAGAAGGCTGAAGCAGAAGAATCTCAAGTTCAGGCCCAGTCTACACCACTTAGTGACGTAGATCCTGTCTCTAAGTAAAAAGTGAAAAAAGGATGGATAGTAGCGTAGCGGGAAGGCCCAGATTCAATTTCCAGTATGGGATAGAGGGCGTATCAAATACTTATATCAGATTGGCAGCAGTGCCTAGTAAGGCAAAACCAGGTATGTTGTTAAGAGTATAGAAAATCAGAAATTATGCATTACTGAGAAACTAAATTGGTTTAACAACCTTGGTAACATCCAGTAAAGTGATATCCCTGTCATTGATACCAGGAATCTACTTCTTGATGTATATCCTAGAAATAAACAGCATTAGCAGTTGTGCACAGGGAATGCATCAGAATGTCATGAGACATTTTTGTACTAATAAGAAATAGAAAATGGCCCATGAACAGTTGAATAAGTTAGTAATATATTTTGGTCTATTGGTAAAGTATTCTATAGCAGTTAAAATGAGTGAGCTAGAACCCATATATATATATATTAAGCTACGTAAAGAGGAACATTCTGAGCAAAATGCAAGTTTCAGAGTATGTTTAGTGTGACAACTATATAAATTTTATTTATTTATTGGTACCACGAATCAGTATAAAATCTAGAAACAGACAAAACAATACTACACATTGTTGTGTATAGAATATAGTACACAAATATAGAAATGATTTTTTTTTTTGAAAGTAGTAAAAATGCAACAGCACAAGACAGATCAAAGCCAATTGAGACAATGCAGTGAAATTGGTACAGGACTTCACAGTAGGATACTGGGATAGTAGTAATATGTACTATGGTACATCTCTTTAATTTAACAATAGCTGTCCAGCCAATTACATATTGTAAAATCAAACCAAAAATAGAACACTGTAAAACCAGTTGAGAATACTGATTAGAGCAAAAGAAACATAACAAAACAGTGAAAACAACCTTTGCCTTCAATCAGAAGGATTGGAATATGGAAATCCCCCGTATTTGCTATACTGCATATGGTCATCCTCCCAAGAGATGCCGAGACATCTATCCCCAGTAGCTATGGGGGGAGGCGGCAGGCGGGGGAAGGGTGCTTGATTTTCAGCCCGCCTGACAGTAGGCTCACAGGTAATGGTTCTCCTCCTGGCCCAAGCTGCAGGTGCTTACCAAGAGGGCGGGTGAATAAGCTGCTGGAGTCCCTCCATGGCCAGATCTCGGGAGTTCTGATTCTTCTCCTGGCCCATGCTGCAGGCGCTTACCAAGAGGGTGGGTGACAAATATGAAAATGGTTAAACACCAAATTCTAGGTGGTAGCCTCTCAGGAAAGAAGGGGCAGAATTCAGTTCAGTCCTATTTTTATTTTAATTAATTGACAGAGTATTGGGTATTCAACCTGTAGTCTTCACACGTAAGCTATAGTCTCAGTTGTTTTTTATATTTTTAATCTTTTTTTCCTTTCTGGTGCTGGGGTTTGAACTCAATACCTCGTGCTTACCAGGCAAGTGCGCTGAAGTTGCTGAGCTAAATCCCCAGCTTATATTTTTAATCTTGAAGCAGAGTATCACTAAATTGTTTAGGCTGGACTTGAACTTGTGAATCTCCTGTTTCAGCCTCCCAGAGTACTTAGATTACAGGGCGTGTACCCTACATCTAGCTCCTACTATTTTATTATTTGAGGGGAAAATAGATTTGCAATAAAAAAAACATAATGTGAAACTGAGTAAATTTGGTTATGAGTACAGGGGTATTGTGTACTCCTGTATATTAAGTATTTAAAAAATATTTTACAATATTTAAATATTTTCAGTATTTAAAAAATATTGAAAGAGAAATGTAATGTTTCTTGTAACTGTTTAGCAAAAAGGGCAAATAAAAGACTGAGAGGATGATACTCTTCAAGATAAATAGGAGATAGCTTTTGTATTTTTTTTTATTCTGGTGAAGTTTATTTTGTTTTTTTGTGTGAGGATTATTTGCTTATGCCATCCTGGTATGTAAAGAAACTTGTGTCCTGTGTTGCCCTGGTAAGCGTTTGGTTTTGCAAACTATTTTCTGACCAAATGGAACAAGCCCTCAAAATGCTGTTTTTCCTCCTATATCTCAAGGCACCTCATGATCTGAGTTCTTAAATTTTTTTTTTTTTGTCTTTTTCTTTTTTATTGGTACCAGGGATCGAACTCACAACCACATACTTGCAAGGAAGGGGCTTATGCCGCTGAGCTAAATCCCCAGCCCTGAGTTCTTAAATTTTTAAACTGATACCTGGCAAGAAGTGTTTTGTTTTGAGTCAGCTACTTTCTTTGAAAGTTCTTTTTATAGATACTCTGTGTTAAGTCTGTCTCCACAAGCTGGTCATAGTGGCACATGCCTGTAATCCAGGCACTCAGGACGCTGATGCAGGAGGATTACTATGAATTTGAAGGTAGACGGGGCTACATAGTGTGACCCTGTCTCAAACACAAAACAAAAGAACAATCCATCTCCACATAGATCCTATGAATCCTTGTGTAACTTTCCTAGCCTCAAAGTTCAGCCCTGCGACTTAGCTTCTATTAGTATTTTCCCAGGTGATTTAAAGTTTCCCTGTAAAGTTGAGCAGTACAAGCTATGAATCTCTGCTCTAATAGCAGATAGTTGAGAGACCAGACAAGTTTCTTCTCTAAGAAAGTGTCCGCCCACATCCAGTTGTGAGACCTAAGTGAGACTGTGTATGTAAAGTGGTTGTCCAAACATCTGGCCATAACAGTGCTCAGTAAATGATTGTAGCCTTCCTAGCGACAGTGCAGAAGCTGATTGATAGTTGTGGGAAGGACATTGAGACATTGAAAAGATCCTTTCTTTTTGAGAACCAAGAGCTTCTCCAAGAGCTGGTAATTGCATAAAAGCATGGTAGGTCTTATGTTATTAGAGAAATACCTTACTTTTAAACTGATTTCATGGTTGATATCCACATGCCTTTTTCCCTTTATCATTCCCATGTGCCATTAGTTGTATAGTGTTTGATAAATGGAAACCTATTTCCTGCCCTATTTCGAGTTATTTTGGTTTGTTGTTTTTTTTTTTTTTTTTTTTTTTTCTTTTCCTTTGCTTTACAGTGGAATTAAAGTGGGAGCAGTTGAATATTTTTACCAGTGGTTTTGGAAGAGAAAGGGAAAAACTTACTTCTGTGTTTGTTTTTTTTTTTTAAATTTTTCTCCCTCTTACTGTTGGAGATTGAACCCAGTGCCTTGCATATGGTAGGCAAGTACTCTACTGAGCGACATCCCTAGGTCCTTTTAGTCTTTTAGTTTTATTTTGAGATGGAGTCTCACTAAGCTGCCTGGACTGGCTGTGATTCTGGGATCCTCCTGTCTCAACATACCAGAATGCTGGGATTACAGGTGTGTGCCAAGTTCACTTTCGTTCTTCAGCAATATGTCCCTTTAAGCAAAAGCCCGTCGATGCTGTGAGA